CTGTTAATTTTCTTGTCCCCTTCTTGGTGAGCATTCTGCTGGTGGAGGAAGCTGTTCCCTGGGTGTGAAGATCTGTGAGGTGGTTTGCAGGGTCTCAGAGGATTTTGGGGTAGGGGTGGGGGTTAAAGAGAAGGGGGGACAGGTAGGGTATGGGGTAAGGAGATAGGGGGAACATGGAGGATACGAGGTCAGGGAGGGGGGATAGGGAGGGTATGGGATGAAGGGGGAGGGGAACAGGGGAGGGGAAAGATGGGAGGGGGGGACACGGGGAATGGGGGAGGGGTGACAAGGATCGGAATGGGGAGGGGGGAGGGAGGGTTGGGTGAGCATTTGAGTGGGAGCAGGTAGGGTGAGGGGAAGGGAGGGGTTTCTATGCAGAGGGAGGGTGGTGGTGCTGCTTGACGTGCTGGCAGGGTTAAGCATCAGCTCCCAAAGTCCACTTTTCAAGCTTCCTGTCAGTCATTAAAATAACTGGGTCAGCTGTTCACGTTTCTCATCTTATTTTCGTCTTATTTCTTCTTGAGGCTGTTTATTGCAGCCCATTCTGCACCCTCTTCCGGCCTATCTTTATCTTACTCACAGAACAAGAGCATAAGAAGGAAACCACAAAAGGCATATTATATATATATATATATATATATATATATATATATATATATATATATATATATATATATATATATATATATATATATATATATATATACTTATCCATCCAAATCCATACATATGGTCTATGTTGACATGTCTAACCTTCGCTTGAAACAATTCAGCCATCTCACGTTTATTATATTACCCGGTAATTTGCTCCATAAATGAACAGTCCTTTTTTCTCCCAACCCGTATTTACCCAGGTGTTTCTGAAATATATATTTATCCAACTGACGTTACCCTAGTATCATCTGGGCCATGTTGAAGCTGCCAACGCAAAGAGAAAAAGTTCTAGGAGTCACGATTAACACAACTCTTAAGCTAAAATATATCAATGTATAATAATTTATAAATGTTCCATCTTATATATAAATATAAGTTGTTTACATCTCGTTATAACGTTTTTATGAGGTATTAGAACGTTATTACAACTTGTTATATTGTTTGTTTACAACTTGTTAAAAACTTGTTCGAACGTTGCAGGAACGTTGTAGTTTGGTCGTGTGTTTACTGGGTCAACGCCCATTGACATTATGCAGGTCAGTTTTGGTCGCCGTACTGTCGAATCTCCGGAGGTTATCTTGAGATGATTTCAAGGGTTAGCGTTCCCGCGGCCCGGTCCTCGACCAGGCCTATTTTTTGTTACACACTCCCATGAAGCTGCCCGTAGCAGCTGTCTAACTCCCAGGTACCTATTTACTGCTAGGTGGACAGGGGCATCGAGGGTGAAAGAAACCCTGCCCATTTTTTTTCCGCCTCCACCAGGGATCGAACCCGGAACCTCAGGACTACGAATTCGAAGCGCTGTCCACTCAGCTGTCAGCCCCCCCCCCCAGAAGCCGCGAATTCATCTCCCCGTGATTGGATATGAATTGAACATGAACAAAGTTAATCCAAGGAATGAGTAACCTCTCTTACGAAGACAGATTTAAGAGTTCTTAATTCATATTCTCAGGAATGTCATAGATGAGTAAGGGAGTGATCTTCTTGAGATTTTGAGGTTATCTTGAGATGATTTCGGGGCTTTAGTGTCCCCGCGGCCCGGTCCTCGACCAGGCCTCCCCCCCCCCCAGGAAGCAGCCCGTGACAGCTGGCTAACACCCAGGTACCTATTTTACTGCTAGGTAACAGGGGCATAGGGTGAAAGAAACTCTGCCCATTGTTTCTCGCCGGCGCCCGGGATCGAACCCGGGACCACAGGATCACAAGTCCAGCGTGCTGTCCGCTCGGCCGACCGGCCCCCTGGGATTGAAGACTACACATTTGTAAATAATAGAACCTGTCACAGATCAATCAATCATGAGATGCTTCGAATGCGCAGACAAACGATCTTCAACATATATACGAAACATTAGTCCTTTATGGATTAAATCAATAAACATTTACATTCATACCTAAAAACAACCTTAGGAAATACTGGAATCTTGGAATTCATACATTTGTTTCTGTATTTACTACATTCTTTTTGTTAATAATCTAGAGAAGATACACTAGAGAGAATATGGGTGGTCAGAACAACTCATTTCAAACATCTGTGTGTCACAGCTCTCTAACACATGTCCACAGCAAATCCCAAGACGCCTAAGACATCAAGAGACATCCCGAGAGACCCCAAGACATCCAGAGACACCCCAAGACATCCTGAGACACCCCAAGGCATCCTGAGACACCCCAAGACATCCTGAGACACCCCAAGACATCCAGAGACACCCCAAGACATCCTGAGACACCCCAAGACATCCAGAGACACCCCAAGACATCCAGAGACACCCCAAGACATCCTGAGACACCCCAAGACATCCAGAGACACCCCAAGACATCCTGAGACACCCCAAGACATCCAGAGACACCCCAAGACATCCAGAGACACCCCAAGACATCCAGACACACCCCAAGACATCCAGAGACACCCCAAGGCATCCAGAGACACCCCAAGACATCCAGAGACACCCCAAGGCATCCAGAGACACCCCAAGACATCCAGAGACACCCCAAGACATCCTGAGACACCCCAAGACATCCAGAGACACCCCAAGACATCCTGAGACACCCCAAGACATCCAGAGACACCCCAAGACATCCTGAGACACCCCAAGACATCCAGAGACACCCCAAGACATCCTGAGACACCCCAAGACATCCTGAGACACCCCAAGACATCCATAGACACCCAAAGACATCCCGAGACACCCCAAGACATCCAAAGACACCCCCAAGACATCCAGAGATAACCCAAGGCATCCAGAGACACCCCAAGACATCCCGAGACACCCCAAGACATCCAGAGACACCCCAAGACATCCAGAGACACCCCAAGACATCCAGAGACAACCCAAGGCATCCAGAGACACCCCAAAACATCCAGAGACACCCCAAGACATCCAGAGACACCCCAAAGCATCCAGAGACACCCCAAGACATCCAGAGACACCCCAAGACATCCTGAGACACCCCAAGACATCCAGAGACACCCCAAGACATCCAGAGACACCCCAAGACATCCAGAGACACCCCAAGACATCCTGAGACACCCCAAGACATCCAGAGACACCCCAAGACATCCTGAGACACCAAAAGACATCCTGAAACACCCCAAGACATCTTGAGACACCCCAAGACATCCTGAAACACCCCAAGACATCCTGAGACACCCCAAGACATCCAGAGACACACCAAGACATCCAGAGACACCCCAAGACATCCAGAGACACCCAAGACATCCAGAGACACCCCAAGACATCCAGAGACACCCCAAGACATCCAGAGACACTCCAAAACATCCAGAGACGCCCCAAAGACATCCAGACACACCCCAAGACATCCAGAGACACCCCAAGGCATACAGAGACACCCCAAGACATCCAGAGACACCCCAAGGCATACAGAGACACCCCAAGACATCCTGAGACACCCCATGACATCCTGAGACACCCCAAGACATCCTGAGACAACCCAAGACATCTAGAGACACCCCAAGACATCCAGAGACACCCCAAGACATCCAGAGACACCCCAAGACATCCTGAGACACCCCAAGACATCCAGAGACACCCCAAGACATCCTGAGACACCAAAAGACATCCTGAAACACCCCAAGACATCCTGAGACACCCCAAGACATCCTGAAACACCCCAAGACATCCTGAGACACCCCAAGACATCCAGAGACACCCCAAGACATCCAGAGACACCCCAAGACATCCAGAGACACCCCAAGACATCCAGAGACACCCCAAGACATCCAGAGACACCCCTAGACATCCAGAGACACCCCAAGACATCCAGAGACAACCCAAGGCATCCAGAGACACCCCAAAGCATCCAGAGACACCCCAAGACATCCAGAGACACCCCAAGACATCCTGAGACACCCCAAGACATCCAGAGACACCCCAAGACATCCAGAGACACCCCAAGACATCCAGAGACACCCCAAGACATCCTGAGACACCCCAAGACATCCAGAGACACCCCAAGACATCCTGAGACACCAAAAGACATCCTGAAACACCCCAAGACATCCTGAGACACCCCAAGACATCCTGAAACACCCCAAGACATCCTGAGACACCCCAAGACATCCAGAGACACACCAAGACATCCAGAGACACCCCAAGACATCCAGAGACACCCCAAGACATCCAGAGACACCCCAAGACATCCAGAGACACCCCAAGACATCCAGAGACACTCCAAAACATCCAGAGACGCCCCAAAGACATCCAGACACACCCCAAGACATCCAGAGACACCCCAAGGCATACAGAGACACCCCAAGACATCCAGAGACACCCCAAGGCATACAGAGACACCCCAAGACATCCTGAGACACCCCATGACATCCTGAGACACCCCAAGACATCCTGAGACAACCCAAGACATCCAGAGACACCCCAAGACATCCAGAGACACCCCAAGACATCCAGAGACACCCCAAGACATCCTGAGACACCCCAAGACATCCAGAGACACCCCAAGACATCCTGAGACACCAAAAGACATCCTGAAACACCCCAAGACATCCTGAGACACCCCAAGACATCCTGAAACACCCCAAGACATCCTGAGACACCCCAAGACATCCAGAGACACCCCAAGACATCCAGAGACACCCCAAGACATCCAGAGACACCCCAAGACATCCAGAGACACCCCAAGACATCCAGAGACACCCCAAGACATCCAGAGACACTCCAAAACATCCAGAGACGCCCCAAAGACATCCAGACACACCCCAAGACATCCAGAGACACCCCAAGGCATACAGAGACACCCCAGGACATCCAGAGACACCCCAAGGCATACAGAGACACCCCAAGACATCCTGAGACACCCCATGACATCCTGAGACACCCCAAGACATCCTGAGACAACCCAAGACATCCAGAGACACCCCAAGACATCCAGAGACAACCCAAGACATCCTGAGACACCCCAAGACATCCAGAGACACCCCAAGGCATACAGAGACACCCCAAGACATCCTGAGACACCCCAAGACATCCAGAGACAACCCAAGGCATACAGAGACACCCCAAGACATCCTGAGACACCCCAAGACATCCAGAGACAACCCAAGGCATACAGAGACACCCCAAGACATCCTGAGACACCCCAAGACATCCAGAGACAACCCAAGGCATACAGAGACACCCCAAGACATCCTGAGACACCCCAAGACATCCAGAGACAACCCAAGGCATACAGAGACACCCCAAGACATCCAGAGACACCCCAAGACATCCAGAGACACCCCAAGACATCCAGAGACACCCCAAGACATCCAGAGACACCCCAAGACATCCAGAGACACCCCAAGACATCCAGAGACAACCCAAGACATCCTGAGACACCCCAAGACATCCAGAGACACCCCAAGACATCCAGAGACAACCCAAGACATCCTGAGACACCCCAAGACATCCAGAGACACCCCAAGACATCCAGAGACAACCCAAGACATCCTGAGACACCCCAAGACATCCAGAGACACCCCAAGACATCCAGAGACAACCCAAGACATCCTGAGACACCCCAAGACATCCAGAGACACCCCAAGACATCCAGAGACAACCCAAGACATCCTGAGACACCCCAAGACATCCAGAGACACCCCAAGACATCCTGAGACAACCCAAGACATCCTGAGACACCCCAAGACATCCAGAGACACCCCAAGACATCCAGAGACAACCCAAGACATCCTGAGACACCCCAAGACATCCAGAGACACCCCAAGACATCCAGAGACAACCCAAGACATCCTGAGACACCCCAAGACATCCAGAGACACCCCAAGACATCCTGAGACAACCCAAGACATCCTGAGACACCCCAAGACATCCTGAGACACCCCAAGACATCCTGAGACACCCTCAAGCCACCCAACGCACCTGAAGGGCAAATAAGGAAGATACAACATAACAGAATCAAGGAATTACCAACATAATTATACCTGCATAAGAGCGTAAACCAAACAGTTGAGATAAACTACAGCAGTTTACACCATGTCAGATAACAGTTTACCTGTTAGTCAGGAAATGAGGAAGCCTGTGAACCTGATAGATAAAGTGGTTAATGTTTCGCCTGATAGATAAAGTGGTTAATGTTTCGCCTGATAGATAAAGTGGTTAATGTTTCGCCTGATAGATAAAGTGGTTAATGTTTCGCCTGATAGATAAAGTGGTTAATGTTTCGCCTGATAGATAAAGTGGTAAATGTTTTACCTTTTCGGCCCCTTGACCCCCCCCCCCTCATTTTTTCAGGTAATCGCCTCCCCTCCTCAGCCTGTCAAGCCCCCCCCCAGTCTAGGTTTATTGTCCCTCTTTCTGGACATATACCTCCCCCTCTTCTGGACCTATCGCCCCATTGTTTTTGGTCTATCATCTACCCCCCTGTTTTTTGGACCTTCTGCTCCCTCCCTGGGCATATCGGCCCCCCTCTTCTATATGCCTATATCGCCTCCACCTTCTGAACCTGCCCCCCTGCCCCCCTCCTGTTTAGATAGACCTACTTCCCTCCTTCTATAGGACCCCCTCTCCCCCATTCCCCCCTCCTTCACCGATGCAGCGTATATGTGTCCAACCTAACATCATCCCCCCCTCCCCCCACACACTTGCCTTCCCTCTTCAAACCCATTCGACCCCCCACCACCGCCCCCTCAGCAGGGGGGTGGAGGGTGGGGGGGGGGCACAGCCGCTTATCTGCCCCCCTCTCAGTTTAGGTATGCATAGCCTCGCCCGGCCCCTGTTGACAGTGCAAATTTTGTATCGGGTGGAAGCAACTGATAAAAGAAGGGGGAAATGAATGGTCTTTTGGGAGGGGGGGAGGAGGACAGGAGGTGGGTGGGGAGGGGGGAGGGGGAAGGGGGGGTAGAAGATGTAGGTATGGGTAAGGGGTGGAAGGGAGGGATGGGCTGGTGGAGGGGGGGGCAGGGGGGAAGATGACATGCCTGGGTATGAGAGAGGGGCGGTGGGGGTGGTGGGGGGGGGAGAGTTAGATGGGGTGATGTAAGTAGGAGAGAAGAGAGACATGGAGGAGAGGGAAGGAGGTGGGTTAGAGACGTAGGAAGATTGGGGAGGGGGGATGGGGTTAGAGATGGTTGAGGGGAGAGGAAGGATAAAGAGGGGAGGGATGTGGGGAGGGGGTAGATTTAGTGAGAATGAATGGGATGCGTGGTGAGAAATGTGGAACAATTACAGGAAACACGGGAGGGGGGGTGGGGGAAGGGAGGGGAGGGGAGGGAATGGGGGGGAGGGGGTTCTATAGGGGGGAGAGGATGGGGGAGGGTGGAGGGACGTCTTGTTTGTGTGTGGGGTTGGAGATGAGATAGGGGGGGGGGGAGGTGGGAGGGGGAGATGGGAGGGGGAGGGGGGAGGGGGTAGAGCTGAAGGGAAAATAACTATGAAGAAAGAAGGCTTAGTGATGTCAAGCGAAGAATCGCTAGTTTATGTGGCTTGGGATTTCTTATTCTTATGGTAATTAATTTCACCTGGAGAGTTATCATCTACCTGGAAAACTATTACCATAAAACCAATGATCAACTTAAAGAACTACACAACTATTACTGTCATGTGACGACACGGCTGACATACCGGAGGTGGCAGGAGACAACATATTTTCTCTGATATGCACTCTCTTTGCTTCTCCGAGACTATGGGTCCCCACAGCTGCCCACAGGTGGTACAGGTGAGGTTTATGCAAGTATAGCGATCCTGGGGGTCCAGGATGTTGGTTCGGGGTCTTGAAGTGGAGAGAATATCGTTATGTGTTAATTGGCTGTTGATTGCTGGTGTTGACTTTTTGATGTGTAGGGCCTCGCTGATGTCGAGTCTCCTGCTATCGCAGTATCTATCGATGATTTCCGTGTTGCTTGATAAGATTTCTCTGGTAATGGTCTGGTTGTGAGAAGAGATTATATGTTCCTTGATGGAGCCCTGTTGTTTGTGCATTGATAATCGCCTAGAAAGAGGCATTGTTGTCTTGCCTATATACTGAACTCTTTGGGCCTTACAGTCCCCAAGTGGGCATGTGAAGGCATGGACGACGTTGGCTTCCTTCAAGGCGTTCTGTTTGGTGTCTGGGGAGTTTTTCATGAGTAGGTTGACCGTTTTTTTTATTTTAGTAGTAAATTGTCAATTGTATTTTCTGATTTTTGTCTGTAGGGATAACGTTCCTATTAATAATATCTTTTCAGGGCACTTTCCTCCGTTTTATAAGCCGTCGAAAAGAAGTTCCTGTAAAACAGTCTAATAAGGGGTACAAGAGTTGTGCTAGTTGACTCTTCAGAGGTTGCGTGGCGTTTCACCTGTATTTTTATGACGTCTTCAACAAAACCGTCAGAGAAGCCGTTGTTGACTAGGACCTGCCTTACCCTACAGAATTCTACATCGACTTGCTTCCATCCTGAGCTGTGACTGAGAGCCCGGTCGACGTAAGAGTTGACAACACTCCTCTTGTACCTGTCTGGGCAGTCACTATTTGCATTGAGGCACATTCCTATGTTTGTTTCCTTAGTGTAGACTGCAGTGTGGAAGCCTCCGTTCCTTTCCGTGACTGTTACATCTAGAAAGGGCAGCTTCTCACCATTCTCCATCTCGTAAGTGAAACTTAATTCAAAATTCTGCTCGAATGCCTCCTTCAGCTCCTGCAGACGTCTTACATCAGGTATCTGTATAAAAATGTCGTCAACATACCTGTGGTATATGGCGGGTTTCAAGTCCATGTCAACTAAGACCCTCTGATCGATGGTGCCCATGTAGAAGTTCGCAAACAGGACACCTAGGGGAGAACCCATGGCGACCCCATCTACTTGCTTATACATGTGTCCATCTGGGCTCAAGAAGGGTGCCTCTTTAGTGCAGGCTTGGAGTAGCTTTCTTAGTATGTTTTCTGGTATGTCAAGAAGAGTACAAGCCGGATCACGACATACTCTGATCCGTTTTCAGTCAGATCAGTGTTACAAGAAAAACGGCTACCAAAATATGCTAGTCTTTACCACCTTTTCACTTTTCTTTTGATGACGTGACGTTGCATGGCGTTTCTTTTGAAATGCCATGCAGCCTCTGAAGAGTCAACACCACAACACTTGTACCTTCTATTAGACTGTTTCACGGGATCTTCTTCTCGACGGCTCACAAAACGGAGGAAAGTGTCCTGAAAGATATTATTAACAGGAACGTTATCCCCACAGACACAAATCAGAAGATACAATTAACAATTTACTACAAAACAAGAAAACGGCCAACCTACTAATAAAGAACTCTCCAGACATCAAACAGAACGCCTGGAAGGAAACCAACGGCGTCTATGCCTTCTCATGCCCACTTGCGGACTATCAGCCCCAAAGATCTCAATATATAGGCAAGACAACAACGTCTCTTTCTAGGCGACTAACAATGCATAAACACCAGGGTTCCATCAAGGAGCATATAATCTCCACACACAACCAGACCACCACCAGATCAGTCTTAACAAGCAACACAGAAATAATTGACAGATACAACGATAACAGGAGACTCGATATCAGCGAGGCACTACACATCAAAAAGTCAAAACCAGCAATCAACAGCCAATTTACACATTATTATATTCTACCCACTTCAAGACCCCGAGCCAACACAGAAGCATGAAGATAGAATCTATACCCATGGTTATATGCCCATCATATATATCCATTGTTTCGTGTTTTGTCTTCTTTTGTTTCCTGTCACCTCACCCCAAAAAATTGTATCCCATCACCTCACCCAAAAACGAATATAAACACGATCTGAGTAAGTAAAAAATTATCTTTGAAAATGTAAGAAGTGCTCTTGCGAAACACTTCTAGGCGTCAGACTACAAATAAAACATGAAAATGACCTTTGAAGAGTTAATTTTCAACTATCCCCGACAGTGAAGAAAAACATAAGAAATATTGAGAAGATTCGTGTTAGAATCCTTAATCTTACCATTTCGGTCATATTCAACAGCATATGTTTATAAGAAAGATATATATATATATATATATATATATATATATATATATATATATATATATATATATATATATATATATATATATATATATATATATATATATATATATATATATATATATATATATATATATATATATATATATATATATATATATATATATATATATATATATATATATATATATATATATATATATATATATATATATATATATATATATATATATATATATATATATATATATATATATATATATATATATATATATATATATATATATATATAGAACTGTGTGTTTATGTTAAGATCCGCCACAATTGACATATAAATTTATTGTGGCAAAATAATAGGACTGTGACATGTTGTGTCTATCGCTCAGTTATTATTCTGTCAGTACTGTGGTAAAACATGTTAACCTTGCCGGCAGTGAGGGGTTGTGGGGGGGGGGGGTTGTGGGTACAGGAGGGCTAGTGCTTGTAGGTGGAGAGGGTGTGCTTGTGAGGAGGGTTGTGCTTGTGGGGAGTTGCGCTTATGGCGAGGGGGTTGTATTGGCGTACTTATCTAGTTACCTAGTTGTACTCACCTAGTTGTGCTTGCGGGGGTTGAGCTCTGGCTCTTTGGTCCTACCTCTCAACCGTCAATCAACTAATGTACAGGTTCCTGAGCCTACTGGGCTCTATCATATTCTACACTTGAAACAGTGTATGGAGTCAGCCTCCACCACATCACTGCCAAATGCATTCCATCCGTTAACTACTCTGACACTGAAAAAGTTCCTTCTAACGTCTCTGTGGCTCATGTGGGTACTTAGTTTCCACCTGTGTCCCCTTGTTCGCGTCCCCACAGTGTTGAATAGTTTATCCTTGTT